AAAAGGGAGTATATAAATCTATCTATCTATCTATCTATCTATCTATCTATCTATCTATCTATCTATCTATCTATCTATCTATCTATCTTCAGGACTTCCAAAGATATGTCTTTGGGACTGCTTTCTTCCCATTATCAGTACTTGATCAATAAGATCAAGTAGAAGTTCCTTTGTGTCCCTTCAGGTGAGGAATGTCACTTCAGGGACCTTGAATATGGGCCTTTTCAACTGTTGGTGATTCTTCAGAATAACATTGTCCCAGAAATCCAATATGGCGCCAACCTTATTGCACTTTCAAAGTACCATTAAGACCAGCTTTTCCAGCAGCCTGGCTGTATAATTATTAACTTTATTTTACAGAATAGGGTATGTAAGCTGTTCAGAGTCGGTGATGACTGGAATGGCATATAACCTTTGTAAATAAGTAAATAATAAAAATAATAAAAATAACTTGACTATGCAAGGGAGCAGGATTAGACAGTTAGTATATGTATCTGATAGTGAATACACATTAATTTTATTTCTAATTATTGTTCTGTGAACAAGGTCTTAAGCAACTTTCCCCAAGTTGGGGAATTCTGGGAGCTGAACTCCACACATCTGGAAGACACTTAAGTTGGAAAGATTAAGAAGTCCAACATCTAAAGAAATGTTAAAATTAGTGGGCCAAGGAATTAGTAATAAATTCTGCTTGTTAATTTAAGGCTGGCTACAAATACGATTCTTTTGCCACTTGTAAAAGTGGTTTGTTCCTATGGCCTAGGATAAGACTTTATCATTTATTACTCAATTTGCATAGTTACATTTGGAAAAGCAAAACATGGAAAAGGTTGCAAGGACAGATAAAAGAATACTAATGAGGATAACAGAGTCAGCCCATCTTCCCACCTTACTTCTAGATTGCTAGAAAAGGCTTTTGCTTTAGAGAATATTTATATAACTTGCATCAATACCTTAACTTCCAGTTTTAGAATTTCTCCCTTGGCTAGAAAACCATTCAAAGTTGTTTTCAATTCAGTAAGACTGGCCTCATCCAAGGACTAAAATATCAGGCAAATAGAGAGAACTTTAAGAATTGACAGATAGCATTCAATTCTAAGCATATTAGTAAGATGAATGTGTGGCATCTCTTTACTTAAAAAAAGAATTGCGTAGCTTGCTATGCATAGAATCCTGACTTGATTAGTTAAAAATATTTTATTGTTTTGACTATTAACTGAAATTCTCCATTCAATAAATAAAATGTGCAAATTACATTTTAATAATTTTTTTAAGAGTGAAAAGTATTTTAAGATACGTAAGACATTAGCAAACATAATACATGTACCTCTTACTATACTACACTAAACTATACTATAACTTAAAGTATCTTTTGGGAATTCCAATGCTACAAGTAACAGGGAAGAAGAGGAAACTCTCTGTCTCCTTTTCTTTCTAATTCTTCTTTTCTCCTTTCTTTCTATCAAAAACAAGAAAAGGAAATATAGCATGACCGAATTTATTAGGAAATGCAGATTGCTAACAGTAATGTAAAACTGTGAAAAACGCTACAAAAAGGAATAGCAAAGGTAAAACAGTATTCATTTCTACCCAATGATCAGAGGGAGTTTGGTAGCACCTTTTCAGATTAAAAATTTTATTAAAGGGCATAAGCTTTTGTGAACCAAGCTAATTGAGCAATGAAGTGATTAAATTGATGTAGGATTTAAAACTGGATGTGGAGGGGGAGAGGGGAAGACAGGTTGGATAAGTGGATGCAGGCTACATGTGGAACAGATCACAACTACATTATCAATTAACAATTATAATGTGTTAAAACCCATTGTGTTTGTTGAGATCTTTTGAGATAGCCAGAAATATTTTGATGCATGTGAGTTCAGCAGTTCCTCATTTAACTGGGGTGGTAAAGTTTCTTTGTTCCAAAATAGCTACTTTGACATCTGTCATAGAGTGTCCTGGGAGATTACAAATGTTACATTAGTTTGTCTTTCATTTGAGCTCTAATGTCAAACTTGTGTTCATTAATGCTTTTGTGCAAAGTCTGGCCTGTTTGTCCTAGGTAGAACCTAGAGGGGCATTGCTGGTAGATGATGGCATATACCACATTACAGGAAGATGTGAAGGTGCCTCTATGCTTATGTGTGAAGTTGTTGTTGTGATAGTGTAGTTGGTGTAAAAGTGGAGGCAAAGTGGACATCTGCCTTTGTGTTTCTTGTTGCATGTGAGAATCTGCTTCAGGTTGGGTAGTTGTCTGTATGGAAGTATGGGCCTGCCACTTAATGCCTGAGA